TATATATATATATATATATATATATATATATATATATATATATATATATATATATATATATATATATATATATATAGTGAGTGTGAAAAGTATTCCTACACAGGAGATTGTCTTGAAGAAGGCTTTATTTGTAGAAAATGAGCTTTATTTAATAATTTATTAACAGTGAACATAATAAGTGATACATTTCTCAAAATTATGTTAATAAATTGTTAGAACTTATTTTCTAGAAATAAGATTTTTTTTTCAAAACTCTCTGGTGTACGAATACTTTTCGCACCCACTGTGCATACATGTTGTATGTATTTGTGATTATAATCACAGATTATAGTTACGCTATAAGCAATCGCAACGAAAGCGAACTTGAAACAGCGAGCGCATTAGTCGCGACTGTCTGCGCGTTAAATCGCGCAAATTCGATCTACAACCGTGATCATGAGACAATGATAATCGATACGACTGGCTAACTGCGAGGGCAACGATCTCCGATTCAAATGAGAGAAAACGGAGACGCCGATGGAACATACGCTCTCACAACGTGGATCACGGCGCGTAATTCATCCGATGAATAAAATATCTGTCACTTTTATGATTTCCTATACAGAGAAGAAAACGTTACACTGAACTCGCGCTGGAATAGCGCAGAAACCGCACTTCCCGCGGTGTGTGAAAATAAAAATAACGCGGCGTGTATTGTGCGTATGTGTGCGTGTCGTTTCTTCTATGCATCGGAGGAATCACGAGGAACTAATTAGGCACGAAGTGACGACCTCGAGGTCACTCAGATTTCTCGGTCGGAACGGATAAACAGAATCTAGAAACCTTCCTACTTGTGATTCGTGCTCGCTATCAGGCTGGACGCCACTTAAGCTATCAATTAGCCGCCAATTAGGGATACAGCAAGTGCGTACCTTCGCAGCACGCGCGTCAATAACATTCGTCAGATTTGCCGCGCATCGCGGTTGCAACAACAGGCAGCTTTGACGTTTTTGTCTGCCGCGCACGACTTGATAACATTTCTCAGAAAGAAGATCTCGAGTAATTGACGCAATGTGACGTGCATTAAGAATTGAAGCTTCTCCTTATTTTTCATATTCTTTGAAAATGATGAAGACAAGATGAAGGATGATGTGCGAAGAGGCGAGGAGCGAGATGGTCAAAGTCCTGATGAGAACGGAGCTGAAGACAAGGAATAATGCTACCTCTATTTGAAAATAAGTCGTTTAGAAAATGGTCTCTTAAGCAACAGGCGGGCAGAGGCTTACTTAAGCTGCACGGCAGTGATCACACGGAAGTAACAGCTCCGTTAGCGTAACTGAATTTTCCATTACCCGGGAACCGGACGAAAAACTCGATTGTAAGAGCAGAAAGATTCCTGCGGGAGATTTCTACTCAGCCAATTGCTTGCCGTTATCCCGGCCGGATTTTAACGCAACTGAGTGTTCAGACGAATGTTATCGGTCTAGGTGAGAGAGATGTTATTTCTCGTCAGTGAATCTCTCACCCAGTCTCCGTTCAGTTACGCGAGCTGAAATTTTCTTTCCGCTCATGTAATTTTTTTCCCAAGAGCGGGGACGTGAAAGGTGAAAAGTTTCATGTGAACTCGACGACTTTAGCGATCATGTAACTTCTCGAGCAACAGGAACGTGAAACTTGCCACTTTTTACAAGTTCACGAGTTCACGTCGCTCGGCGATGTCGTTGGAGAGGGGAATTCGCGGACTGCAGAAATTATCCAGCCTTTACTTAAAGGGCCGAGACAGAAGAAGAGAGTCGAATTCGCGCGATGAGAACACCTGATCGATGAAACTCTGATCTTATCAGTTCGTTCGTAACGTTATCGTGGAATTCGCTTGACTGGCGTTGAGGAATGCAAATTAAGCGCGACGATCTCGCTGTGACGATCGCGGTCGTGAAAATCGTCATCGTGAAAATGAGCTGAAAGTCATGCTGACCCAGTGGCAATTGATGCACGTGACGATGTCATCTATATTTCCCTCGTTTGGGACTGATTATCTTCGACGCTCGCGGCCGCCGACAAAGACGGACGGACTTACGGCATTACGTCACATCGCGAGAAGACAATGTGAGGAGCTTCTCACGATATCGTGCGATCATAATGTGCTTTCAGTACGGCGAATTAAAATAGTTACGTAGGATAATTGCTCATATCACTGTGCCTACTTCTATTAGTGTGTCTTTCTACTCAAATGAGCCGCATTAAAAGAAAATTAGCACAAATAAATAGAACAAATATTTTTTAAATTAATTTAAAGTATTAAACTTAATAAAAAATACCTTTTCTATTTAAATAAGCCATGAAGATATCTTTTTATAGTTTATTTAAATACAAAAGCACACTAATATGGACAGTTATTCTAGTAAATATTCGTGCACTCCTTGCTTTTCTCTTTTTTCTTTCTCTCTTTGAACAATATCGGATATTTCAAGGTAAATACGACGAAAATTATCTTAAATTGTTATCACAGCGTGTATCGCATGTCAACGCAATCGCAATGTAATTAAAGGCATGCAACAATCTCAGATAACTTATGCATGACTTAATTACATGAGAGGAGCTCCGTCGAAAAACATTTCGAGGGTCGCGCCGGTGACGTCTTGCTCTTGGTTTTTTCTCGTATTCAAATGACAAGACGATAACGATAAGATCGCAGAGATCAGAGATCGATAACGCCACAGATACACCGTTGTGCGAATCTGTCGAATTTTTTGCAATTACGACAGACGAATTAATTAAAAAGATCATCGTGTTTCAACGTGGTTGAAGAAACACGAGATGCATTCGTTTTTCCGCGTCTCGTCGTGCACTTTGTAGCTATTAACATTGTATTTTAGTCTGTTTTATGTCATATATTGATAAAGCGAAATGTTAAGAGTCGGCTCCGCTAAATAAAATGTACAGGAAATCAGCGAAATGCACAAAGACAATCGGTGAAGAAGAAGTAGATTAAAGAGTCTTGCGAGAAGAGATCGTCGCGGTGAGCAAGCAAAAGCGCAACCTTCAATTCTCGCGACAAGGTTCCCTTCGGCCTCGCGCGATTCTGTGATCTCATCTTCGCTCAACACAATGAAATCGCGATCGCAATAACGAGAACGACAATACACGTTTCGTTTTCACAAAAGCTGAGTCTCCCCCTTTAATCCTTCCCCTCTCTCTCTCTCTCTCTGCAAAATGTCAATATATAATCGTTCCAACTACAGAAAGCACAACGATTAAATACCCAACGCGTGTCACCGCGTACTATGTGCAATAGAACTTACGTGCCCTCTTCTCGTCGATTGCATTATTTATATCGTGCCTTCCAGATTCGAAGATTGACGAGCACGTGCTCAGACGTCGGAGAGAGGAAGAAGAAACGTCAAGGTGAATCGAGGAAAATTGAAGCGACTAGAGTGGGAGAGAAAGAGAGAGAGAGAGAGAGAGAGAGAGAGCGCATCTTCTGCGAGTGGGTGTTTGCTTGAAGGAAAGTGAAACTAGATCTGGACGTGTTTTGTTGCATGATGCATTCAATCCAACTTATAAGCTCATTCCTCTGGGAGGTGCTCATCAGCAGGAAGGAAGAAGGAGAAGAAAGAAGCATCAACACAATTACACTGCATATCTCACATCCAACACACATCCTGCGCTGAAGAGAAAACCCAAAGTGCTCGAGGAGCGGACAGGTGCTCAGGCAAGGAAGAGGAGAAGACCCCCGAGATCGAGAGGAACCACTGAGAGAAGCGCACCTGTCGAGTTTCGCGACCGTCCTGCTCTCTCCCAGCCCTCGTCGGGAAGCTCGAGGGGATCAGCCGCGGAAGCAAAGAGCCCCCCTTTCCTTTCCGCGTTTGGTCGGCGGCGCTATTGCGAAGCTTCCGGGGGAGGGGACGCGCGTAGTCGTCTCACACTCACCGGTAGAATATCCGGTCGGAGTTGAGGTGAAAGTCGAGCAGCAGCTCTTTGCAGCGGCTCCACGTGATCGCGGCACCACCGCCGCGATGATCCTCCTCGCACGTGGTGTTGAACACGCTGGCGGTGCCTGGCGCAATCGCGGATCTCGTGGTCGGCCGGTTGCTGTCGCCGCGTGCCTCCATCCCGGCGATGCTGCACGGCTGATCCGCCGGGGTCTACAGTCCGGAGCCGAATCCGTCAGCTGGCTGCGTTCGCTTTAGAGAGACGCTTTGTCTGACGTTGACTCACCCGCCGACCGACCAACCGACTGACTAACTGCCTGCCTGCCTGCCTGCCTGCCTGCCTGCCTGCCTGCCTGCTTGTCTGCCTGACTGACTGACTGACTGACTGACTGACTGCCTGCCTGACTGACTGGGCTACGGAGCGTTGCGGAGAACGAACGCGGCGCTCGCAGGCAGTAGCGTCGAGTCCGCCGCGTCGCGCGGGGATATTGCAGTATGCAGCCGGGAGAGCGATGCACGTCGTCGTCGTCGTAGTAGTTGTCGATCGTGGTGCAGCGAGTGGGTGGGCATCGCGATCGGCAGATCATGAGTCTGCCCCGTCGCGGAAGTTTACGTGAGGGGCTTCATCGCGAGACTCCTCGACGTGTGTGCGACCGGACCGCACTTGGCGGGTCGCATTTGTTAGTCGCTTCTCGACGACGCACATTGCGATCGTCCACCAAAAAGTGGATCGAGCCGCCGCACAGTGAGCGATTTGACTGCCTTTCGGGGCAAAAATCTGTTCCGCTACAATTTTTTTTACCAATCGTAATGATTCTTTTTGTAAATTACTCGTTAGACTTTCAGTTCGAATGACTACTTGCGGAAACGCTGTTATTTTTTTGTGATCTTATAATAGAAGATGAAAAAGCGCCAAAGAAGTATGAAAAATTTGCAAAACTTTGTTGTACAAACTCAATCATCATAGAACATGATGCAGATATAGCATGAGGTAAAATATAAGGAAATATAAATCGAGTGGCTACAAAATCCTAAATCCTAAACCCTAAGTCCTTGAAAGTCCTTTAATCCTAAGCACTAAATCCTAAAGCCCGAAACTTTGAAACTCTAAATTCTAGGTCCTTAAACCTAAAGTTCATGTAGCCACTCGATTTCATTTATATTTCTTTATTTTTACTTCATACTATATCTACGTCAAGTTCTATAACAATTGGCTTTGTACAACAAAGTTTTTTCAATTTTTCACACTTCTTTGGCGTTTTTTCATGTTCTATTTTAAGACCATAAAAAAATAACAGCGTTTCTGCAATTTGTAGCAAGTAGCCACTAGAACTGAAAGTCTAACGAGTAATTTGCAAAAAGCATCATTACGATTGGTAACAAATTGTGGCGGAACAGATTTTTGCCCCAAAAGATAGTCCAATCGCACACTGTGCGCCGGTTCACGTAGTCCTGATAACGCCGGAGTGGAGGGAATATTTTGATTATGTCTCGTGAGAGACCGGCGGCCTGTGAAAATAATTGCACGTCGGCGCCGTTCGTGTTATCGCGCCGGCTGGCCGTTGCCGCCTTCGCGGTTAATTGGCTGCAGTGTTGGCCATTGATCGAGCGGAACTGACTAGAATAATCAGTGATTCGACGATCGCATTTAATCGTTCGACATAATCAGGAATAATTCAACAGATTGATGAAATCATTGAACGCTTCGACATTCCTCCTGATGTCCGGCAGGAATCTTTCTGTAACTTCGAAATATATCGATAAAATTATTGATAGTGCATAATCGAGCACACCAAAGTTTGATTAAGAGCAACTTCTGGTGTATATAGCCGGGAAATAGGGGTTTCTAGGAATTTCTTCCAAAGCAGTGAATAAACATATCAATATAAACTTTTGACTATACTTGTCATTGTTTCAAGTACAAAAAAAATTAATTTTTTGTTTAAAAAAAATTGAAACTCCGTCGTCGGATCTTTATGCTGTGAATGCTGTGTCATCAGACGTCCCTGACTGTACTGAAAGAAAAAATATCTAAAAAGTAATAAATATTTATTTAGTGGGTATTAGTAACACATGTGTGTCCATTTACATAAATATAAAATATTTTTCAAATAAGGAGATATACATTTTTTCCAAACCTGAAGGAAACTTTAGCTTTTCGTGAAAAAAGCAATTATTTATTTAAATCTATTTAAAATTAATAATAATAAAGCAATAAAATTAATAATAATAATAATAATAAAGCAATAAATTTAAACTTATTAAAATTATTTGAATAAAAAAATTTAGATTTAAATAAATCAGCTATTAGTATCCATCAAATGAATATTTACTAGTTTTTAGATATTTTCACACGTTATTTATTATCATTTCTTTTTTCCACAATGCTTGATCGGCCGCTGATCGAGGAATGTCCTTGAACGCCTTTTTTTTTGTCGCTCACGATCAAATAAATGAGATTTATTCACGTGAGATTTATTCTGGTTTATATAACCGGGAAATAGGGGGTTTCTAGGAATTTCTTCCAAAGCAGTGAATAAATATATCAATATAAAGTTTTGACTATACTATTTGTCATTGTTTCAAGTACAAAAAAAATTACTTTTTTGTTTTAAAAAAATTGAAACTCCGTCGTCGGGTCTTTATGCTGTGAATGTTGTGTCATCCCTAACTGCACTGAAAGAAAAAACTGAAAGAAAAAAATATCTAAAAAGTAATAAATATTTATTTAGTAGGTATTAGTAGTACATGTGTGTTCACTTACAAAAATATAAAATATTTTTCAAATAAGGAGATATACATTTTCTCCAAACCTGAAGGAGACCTTAGCTTTTCGTGAAAAAAGCAATTATTTATTTAAATCTATTTAAAATTAATAACCTAATAATAATAATAAAGCAATAAATTTAAATTTATTAAAATTATTTGAATAAAAAAATTTAGATTTAAATAAAACAGCTATTAGTATCTACCAAATTTAATATTTACTAGTTTTTAGATATTTTCACACGTTATTTATTATCATTTCTTTTTTCCACAATGCTTGATCGGCGCCGCTGATCGAGGAATGCCCTTGAAGACGCCTTTTTTTTGTCGCTCACGATCAAATAAATGAGATTTATTCGCGTGGGTGACGCGACCCCCGTTGGAGCGCCGCGTCACCTACGCACAGGGGTGACACGGCGGCGATCACCCTGATGCGTCTGCGGAACGAATGTCGAAGAGAGCTCGTTCTGAGAACTTCCGCTTCCCCTGTCTATCGCGCAAACCGCTCGTAAAGATATTCGATCGGACGGCGGCTCCCGTTTGGTCGGGTTGCGTGACATTATCGCGGACGTATTCGGACGATGGCCTGCGAAACAATCGCCGAGCCGGTTCCGACGAAGGCTACGGCCAAGGCCCTGACAGCCTCGAGCCATGTGTTGTCGAGGAGGATCGATACAGCTCGTTTCATCGCGTGCCGACAATACAACACCCGAGCCGGCAAAATGAGCGCCATTGCGAAAAACCCACGCGATGTCCTCGTCGGGAATCTACACACATACACAGTTAGTGTGTCGGGCACATTAATTGATTAAAATTGTCCTTGAAAAATTAAAATTAGTAAATCAAAATTAATCGATTGATATGTAAAGTCGCAAGTAATTTCGTTTACTGATGAAATGAATTGTTAATCGAACCTTGACGCGGTTGATCACACTGATTACAATCACAATTTCATCGAACGATTAAATCATTCGTGAGAGCGTATACAGAGCGTTTACGAAATACTTGGACAAACTTCTAATATTCCTCTCATCAAAATAAAGAAAAAAGTTTACATAAACTCATATTTAAAAATGAGTGATTGCGAAATTATGGTAAAACAAAGTTTATATCGTCATGTAACGTTGAGCAGCAATTGATGAAAATTTTCTCCGATTAAAAGAATGAAGAAATTAATAATCAGATCGTCATGTATAAAATCGCAAGTAATTTCATTGATTGATAAAATTAATTATTAATCAAAATTTTGTAAAATTGATTATACACTGATCAATAATTAATTTAAGGAATTGATTAAATTATTCCTGACTATATTTATGACAAACAAGTACATATATAAATTTGATTATTGATTTGCCGATTATTTTAGTCAACAAAAATTTTGACCAATGCCCAACGTCGTATAGATTTTGCAGATTGCAGTAAGCTAATGAACTCAGTTGTCAATAATCATCTGAATCAACTTGATCTCTTTGTTTCTCATCGTTCCCCGGTAGAAATCGCGAGTGGAAATCCCCGAGACTCCTACGTACCTGAGTGTCTCCTGTGTTCCTGAAAGACACGCGATCTTCAAAGCCATGTACGCACCACTACGACTAAACGTCATACACGCATCTATTCTTGTACAAGGTTATTTCGACAGACTCCGAAAAATAAGCGATGTTCGGATCCCCGTTGTCGCCGTTGTCCGACTGCTGAACCCAATAATCGTGCGTTAACGAAGATAAAAGTGTGAATTTTGTAGTGCCTGTATCACAGATTATAAATTGGAGACTGAGGCCTGCGGATTAAAGATTGGAACTTGATCAGTTAGAATAAAGCAAGCCAAGACCAAAGTTTGTTGGTCCGTCGAAATTTAATCTTCAACCCGCAATCTTTAATCACTTGTCTGATATAGGTTTAAGAGCGTCCAACCAACGACATAGATACATATATATATATATATATATATATATATATATATATATATATATATATATATATATATATAT